CCAACTGACCGATTGTCGCTCTACAACCTCATATCCCTCCATCGTATCATCACTCTTTCTCAATCCCCAAATCTAGATGTCACAAGTATCATACATCATCCTCTGACCATGCGCGAATACCACATTCATCCTCTTCAACTCACATCCTCAACCCCATCTTCTAACAAGAATCCCTTCTCCATACTTTTATATCGTACTCAAAGAGAAAGAAACTAACAAGAGTTCGATCCAAGAGGAGACACATGATCAAAGTTGACAATCCAGACGCATGGCTAGATCTCATGTATTCAACTCAATCAAAACATTTCTTAGTCCCCACACTCGACATCGACCTAACTTGGCACACTCATCAACTCCTACCTTCCTATTCGAACGACACTATGACTTTATTAAGTAGAGAAACTTTATTGGATCATAACGATTCTGCTTCGGAAGGGAAGTTGGATGATGGGTTAAAGATTACATCTAAATTATGGGAAGATAAATATGGTTGGAAATATTTGTTTTGATCAATATCAATGAATCTTCTCTTCCCCCCTCCCTCTCTTGAAAACATCATTTAGTCAGATATTGTATAATTATCTTTTATCATAAGTTCTATGCATTTGATATGGTTTGTAAGTTGATGGTTGATGGTTGATTTTTATCCTTGTGGTAGATTGCTCGATGATGGAGATAAGTGAGGGACATGTGAGAGATTGTATGTGGCTGTGCTTCAGTGGTCATATGTTTAACTCTCGAGACAATCCAGGAGCGAAGAGTGTGTTTAAGTAATGGTATGAGGATATGAGAAATTGGAAAAATTGCGACGTGAGAATGATCAGGTAACAAGCAGTGCAGATACAACGCGGGTGTATGAGGGTTAGCAATAGTGAAGAGAATAAACCATGCATCGTCCGATCTTGTCAAAAGATACAACATGATCGGTCTTTACATACCTACCATACTCTTCACAGCCTGATCGATCAGCAATCTATTATAATCACCATACTGTACGAGTGAATTTGTCTGCGCCCAGAAGAAAATGAAGAGGATTGATGTGAAGCAGTGAAATGAGGATGTGAGCATAGTAATGACTACAAAGGTGACGGAGGTAGAAACATAAGGTGAAGGCGATGCCGATACAGAGGTGATGTAAAAGAAAACCAGAGATACCATAGCAAGCGATACCATGGTGGAACAGAAGGAGATACAGTGGTATAAGGAAACAACAGTCAATTAAAAAGTAAAAAAACTCACCGTCCGTGCGTAAGGTATATATGACAAAGAATACTTTTTTTCGTCAACACCTTACCAAAAATTCGTATGAAATTTGGAGAAAAGAAAAGAGTACTCACCCAAAGTGTACAAATATATTGAATGATGACGAACACTATACAAAGTATAGTAGGAAGAACGAAAGCGGAAACAAAAGTCATTATTATACTTGCGAATAATAAAACTGTAGCGACCACTCGAACGGGTTTGAACATTGTTTCAAGTTGTCTTTGAAAACCACTGAATGTTAATTCACTATTCTTGATACTTTGATTCTTCATCAAGCCCACATATCTCCACCATCTCTGAACACCTTGTATTCTGAATCATATTTATTGTTGGAGAGATTCCTAGTTTAACCGAGCTTGAGCCCTATGCGTGTTATG